CCCTAGTCACGCTGGCCATGTGGCAACGGAAACGGTCTTCGGACAAGCAGTGGCTCTACGGCTTGGAAACGGGGATGAGCACCGCCCCCTAGAGTCGAACATGACTGACTAAAATGTCAAGGGGAACCTTTACCTTTACCTTACTTCATGTATTACTTTCACATGATGAATTACAAAAATGATTTGGGGGCATATTTTGTGCTGCTTTTCCTGTGTGCCAAAATTACGAATAATGGCTCTCTGCATGTAGGCTCCACATATACTGTGGTGATGATCTTCACTTCTGTCTACCTCCCTTCATTTCACTTTATTTTGCCATCTGTGAGATTCCTATAGCTTTAAAAAGTAGCACCAGATGGAGCCAGTAATTCAGCAGTTACAATCTCCCCATTTCTTATATATCACTTTGATAGGGCAAGTTCTTTTTTCTTTCTCTTCTGTTTAACATATGGTATGTAAGATACCATATGTAGGAAGAATTGATGCCTTTGAATTGTGGTGCTAGAGGAGACTCTTGAGAGTCCCCTGGACTGCAAGGAGAACACACCTATCCATTTTGAAGGAGATCAACCCTGAGTGCTCACTGGAAGGACAGATCCTGAAGCTGAGGCTCCAATACTTTGGCCATCTCATGAGAAGAGAAGACTCCCTGGAAAAGACCCTGATGTTGGGAAAGTGTGAAGGCAAGAGGGGAAGTGGATGACAGAGGAGGAGATGGTTGGAAAGTGTCACTGAAGCTACCAACATGAATTTGACCCAACTCTGGGAGGCAGTGGAAGACAGGTGGGCCTGGTGTGCTCTGGTCCATGGGGTCACGAAGAGTTGGACTCGACTTAATGACAAAATAACATGTAAATTAAGGTTACTGTTGGAAGTGAAAGTTATTATTCCTTGAACATCTCACATACCATGGAAGCCTTTCTGTCTTCGTTATAAGACAGAAATGACTTGACAGCACATAACAAAAACATATAAGCCAGAAATGACTTGACAGCACACAACAAAAACAACAACTAGCAGCAAGACTGGAGATAATCCCTGATCACTCTGGCAACTAGCAGCAAAAGACTGGAGATAATCCCTGATCACTCTGGAAACCTGTACTGAAAAATCTCCTGCAAGAAAATCATGTTTATCTTGAAAGAGAATGATTAGTACCAGCCACTTTTTTTGTTATTACACTTGTGCCCCGCTGGACAATTACCCCGCTCTACGGCGAATCTGCTTTATATTGATTGCTTTTGCGATCGCAAAACAATGTTTAGTCGTGCCCCGCTGGAAGATTACCCCGCTCTACGACAAATCTGCTTTATGTTGATTGCTTTTGCAATCGCAAAACAATGTTTTAAATGGGGAGGTTTTGCTGTGCGATGATCGCTTCCCTGCTTCAGGAACCGTTCGCTGTGCGATGATCGCTTCCCTGCTTCGGGAACCGATTTTCGCTTTACGATTATCAGCAAATAGCTGATCATCGGGTTTCAAAATGGCTGCCGGCTGAAGAAAATGCCCCCCCCCGCTGTTTTCTAGGACGGATTCCTCACTTCACAGGGATCAAAAATGGCCACCGTATGGAGGATCTTTGCTGGACCAGCAGGTTTTCAGCCCATTGGAATACATTGAACAGTGTTCAATGCGTTTCAATGGGTTTTTTATTTCGTTTGACGACGTTTTCGCTCTACAGTGATTTCACTGGAACGAATTAACATTGTCAAGCGAGGGACCACTGTATTTGGAAGGAATCCAGACATCAGGAACTGTAACACTGACTTTGAAAAAAGTCATTACAAAGGGGAAGAACCTTTGACTTTCTGTCTTTCTTATAAATTGGTTATCAGAATAATTATAAACACAAACACAGAACTGGAAATGAGATCTGAACTTTTGACCCTGCTAGTCAGGACCAAATGAAATGACTCCTAAGTGGAGACATGTTTAACTCCTTCCTGGTCAAACAGATATTTAAAACAGTTTCTGCTTCTGGTGCAAAATATTTTAAAAGATGTTTTTAAAAATAGAGAAAAAATATTCAGAAGCGCATTCATTTAAGATGTAAAATTACTGGTTTTTGCTTTGTAGCTAGGGATGGCCTTACATTATTTTAGCAGAGATTTGGTGCCCATTTCACTAATATTGTCACCATATAATTTGGTAATTAAGGAAAAAATTCCAGAGATTATATGTGCCATCACTACACTTCTGATACTGTGTTCCCCCGAAAAGAAGACAGGGTCTTATTTTAATTTTTGGTCCACAGACAGG